TATCTAAAATTAAAACAGTTTGCCAACAAAAATTTTGCATTGATGAAAAATTGCTTGATGAAACGGCAACTCAATTGACAACTTCGAAGATGAGTATCATAGAGAAAGTAAAATCATTCAAGAAGAATTTTTCTTTCGATGTGGAAGTTAAGATCTACAAGATGTACAAATATTATCGTTTTTCGGGACCTCTCTTCAGGGGAGAATTTCCTATACCAGTTTTTGGCATGTTTTTATCAGCACACCACTCATATGTTACAACAAATGAAAAAATAAATGCAATGTGTGATGAAATGGCTACAGACGAACTAAAATTAGCAATTTGTCTACTAGATCGACGAGAAAGTGATTTGAAACCTATCCAGTAAATGATCTGGAACCCATAGTGCTGACCGCTTTTGAGAAGAACAAAAAATAACCTGAAAAAGGAACGCATATGTTTATATGAACCAGCAGATTCCTTTAAATAAAAATATATGTAGATAAGTTAGCTGATATTGTTTACTCAAACGCTGATGCGTGTCTACAGATCTTGTATTATGAAATAATGATATATCAAATAAAGTTGACATGTAACCTTAACTAGAGAAAAGGGAATCACTAAAGAATGTTCCAGATAACAAAATTGAAAATTTTGAAAGACTCGAGTTAATCTCTTCTGAATGTAAATAACATTCGTAACATTTTTATTAAAAATATATTTTTTGTAATTCAAATTTTGATAAGTGCATCGTTAATAAACTGTAAAAGTGAGATACTAATAAGATTCTTAATTCGTATATAAATTCAAACTGTAGCCACGGAAACGATTTTAACAACGTTTGGAGTATTTACAGCGATATCGTTGTCATAAAAAACGAATTCTATAATCTGAATCTCGCAACTTGTGGCTGAGGGGTTGCCTTTTTATGGTTAATGCATAAGAATTGCCTGCGTGATCGTTAGACGGGACTAAATGGGTTTGGATAACTGGAGTAATATTTGTGCCGTGTGAAGGCCGTTTAAGATGTTATATTTTCTATCATTGAAGATCGTTTAACACGGAATTAATGTTGTGTGAACTGTGTTGTAGAATTTTAGTCCCTTCAATTCGACCTTTATTAACTTGGGTGGTTTCATTATTCTTACTTGAATACTGTAAAATCAGCCTAAGGGGTGGTGCCTGCTTTTTACATATTTCTTTTGACGTTTTATCTGTGCTATGCAGGCTTCTTAACTTCAGATGTCCTTTCAAATTTAATTATTTTAGTTCCGCCCATTGTTGTCTCGTTTAAGACACAAAACTTCCTTTTATTTGGGGACCACATATCGCTTTTCTTTTCATAACACTATGTGATACATTGAAGGTTCCATGATAACCGCCGTAGAACAACATTTGTTTTTACATTCAATATCACACCATCTTTCATGCGTTTTAATGTCCAATTCTACTCAAGCCGGTGCTAAGAGGCGTGAAAGGCAACTTGCACTTTTAAGTACCGTTCATGAACATGCTCAAACAAACCGAGCCTGCAAAATTTTCACGTTCTTCGGGGATTTTGTTTTTTCTATTCTATACATCTCTTAGCTCCAGCAGTAGAGATGGGCTTGAACCCTGGTGTTGCTTTAAAATTAAACACGCAGGGTAAGCCAATATCATCTTTCAATATTCAATATTTTTGTTGTGGTTAAATTGTTTACTTTTTATAATTATGTTTGTTCATCTTTTGTCTGTGTTTTAACTATTTCACTTTTTGTAACCATAAAATATGTTAAAATGTAACACCTTTCTCTCAATTTTGCCGGTGGTTTTTTGTGTCTAGGCTGTGTTAAGGGATTTGTTTTGCGAATGCCATCAATGCAATGTTGATCTTGTTTTAATATTTAATAATTAATTCTTAAGACTATTTTGCTTAAAATAAGTGAAATTTATGATGCTTTTGTTCTCCGTAATTGAGATATTTTAAACAATTTTTAAATAAAAACTTTGACCAAGATAGGAATTGGTTCGATACATGATATAACTCAATAATAATTTATTACGTATGTAAGCATGAAATGTACATAGACTGAATATAAAAGTAATTTTCATTGGTCATTTTAAAATTCCAAACTAAAACCTGGGAATTTTATGTGAATGATAGTTACTGTCATTCATACATCCAGTTCTCAAATAAAATGTAAAGGATCGTTTTTGCCATTTTACATAAGATGCATAGGGTAGTTCTAAAATAAAATGTACGAGATTGTTCTTTAACATTCTGGTTTAATTGCTGAGATATTAAAGTTCTGTTTAACAATTACTTCTTCCGACAAAGCATTCTACACTGCATTAAAATTTAATTATATTTTCTAGTAAACAGTTTATTTTACAAAAGAACTTACTCAGTTTATTTTACGCGAGACCATACCGAAAACACTATTTTGTTCAAAATAATAACACCACCAATAACGTTCACGATCATGTAAGTCTACCCATGGACATGTAAATCTAGAAAATCAAACCAAACAAAAACAAACAAATCCGAACATATCAGTTTATGATGTTCAATAGCAAGTGTATTATAAAGTATTTGAAAATTGAAGTTTTCAGTTGTTTAAATGTTTATAATTTGCACATCATTTTGCATAATAATCAAGTATTTATAATTGCCTACTTACTCACGCTGAACTTTGTTGATTTTATACAAAACATTACCCTTTTATTTCTATTTGCAATATGTCATGTCATTCTTTAAAAAAAAATACTGTCAATATTGTATAATATTACAAAATTTATGAAGCCAAACAAAATCAAGAAATAGGGACACTTAATGTAAAGAAGTAATTGTCCTAATTTGAAGAGACATCACTGTCAATATACTTATAAAATAATTAATGTTTACAAAAAGTTTTTTAACAACAAAAATATTAATTATTATATCATTTATATACAAGCATCGCTAACATTTCTATAGGGGGTATTTACAATAGTCCTTTTTATGAACTGAAAATTTAATATTTATTCCATGGTTTTCTTTCTTAATTGGCATGAAATTACGAGTTTAAATGTAAAAAAATCAACACTGAGTGGCATTTTATCATATTCATATGTTATCTCTAAGTAGTTAATTTTCTTCAAAGGCAATTCTTTATGATTCACGATATATATTGCTCACATATATGGCAGGATAGGGCTGCATAATTTGGATTACATATTTTATCAAATGTATTTTGTAGTTAGCAGTATATTATTGAATCTGATCCTACGTTGCCACATATTTTATCGCACAAGACATTTAGATACCCGTTACATCAGTATAGAAGTACAACCTTTCAGAACTTTCTACAAACCGTTGTGAAAGGATCTTGAGCTTAAGCACAACATAAAGAATAGACACAACGGATGTACAATGGCAATCTTGGCTAACTTTAGCTACATATCATTAATCATTTTTGTGAATATTCTAAAAAAGGCACAAAAATCCTTAACATACTGCTTTAAGCATAATGCCTCTTTGTTTTCCAAATGTACAGTGTCGTAATTTTTAACGGTCCCTAGTTTCATGTTGATAACATTCATGATTTGAAATCAAAATCTACTTAATGTGCAATTTGAACAAAAACTCTAAGGTAACAAGGTTAACTTATCGAATCATTTAGCTTTCGAAATAATGCCCATTGTCTTACAACTGTGCCTTGTCATAATGAAGACGAGTACTCCAAGTTTCATTTTGATACGTCTCAAAGTTCTTAAATCAATCTACTTAATATGCAACTTTGACAAAAAATTTAAATTAAATGGGGCATAACGTAACATAATTATATTTGTCATGGTAGGCAATAGTTCTAAGCATCGTGTTGATATCTTATAAGATGTATTAATCATGGGACGACGACGTAGCGATCACAATACATAATGTAACGTAGGAATGGAACTGTGCAGAAGTATAGCCAGCCAAATTTGTTATTGATATCACCGATAAATACAAGCAATAAGGTACGTAAACACCACACTTAATATTGTACCGGAAACAAAAATTACAAACATTATTTAACGCTTAAGAAGTGAATAACGGAGTCAGTACCATTCTTAAGGCATTTTTGAGTTTCGTCTATATCGCACAATAATGCATGCAAAACTGTATCATAGCAATAATAAAGAAAACATGCACTATGATTCAGGTACTTCTTATTGAAAAACCAGCGTTGCTTCTTTGCATCATTCACGAATTCAGTATAACCTCTTAAAATTGTCTCTTTCACATATCTAAAATTTATTATGTTCCAACTTATAAACTACAATTGATTGATACATAGTTAAAATATTGATTAAAAAATCATAATGAAAATGATTGTTCCTTTCTTACTTCAACAGTGGCAGTATCGCTTATTAACAAAAACTTTTCTCCTTATAAAGAATCAAAGTGCTGAAAGCACTGATGGGGACGCAATATGTGCTAAATTCGAGATTTGTATAGCAATCTACTTTAGGTGTTCCAATCTGATATCATTCTTCTTTCAAAGTTGAATAAGTGCCCATTTTGTACACATTATATAGTATCGCTTCCAAACTCTTGTCAAAATTGAAAATCATGTACCAAGAACATACTAACAAACCCAGGCAAAATGCATAATTGATATCATATATATCATGAATAAACATTTTAAATTATGACATTGGATTTTGTTGGGAAACTATAGTTGTTAAACCAATTTTCATGTAAAGTACTTCCTTATGTGAATGTATAACACATAAATCAGTGTACTTACTATATTTATTCCAAGAAATGATTATGCAGATAGAAAATAAACAGAAAATTTAACTGTCTATAAAATATTTCTAAAATAAAACCAGGGGAGCGTTTCACTAACGTACTTACGTTATCGTAACTCGAGTTTGAACGTAAGTTTTTGCGTAAGCAGAACTTACGTATTTATTTGCGTTTCACTAAACTTTCTTAGCTACGCATTTGCGTAAGTTTAAATGTAAAGTTACGGTCACTTATTGCTGGCGTAAATTGCTCGTGCAGTGCGTAAATATGGCTGCCGTATTATTGTTCGACACTCAGAGACGCCGACCTCTGCCACGAATTTTCCGTGAACGGACAGACGTCCTCGACAATTTGAGGGACAGGGAAGTGGTTGAACGGTACCGCCTCTCGCGGGAAGCAATTTTTGATTTGCATAATCTCATTAAAGATGATATAAGCTCATCTTCAAATAGAAGTTTTCCTGTGCCGCCTTTGACAAAGGTACTGTATGCCAATAAATATTTCGAATTAGCTCTTCAATACTGAAGGGCGACATATCTAGATATCTTCGGTGATTTTCCTATAGTTGTTTCCCTTGTATAATTTTTATATCACAGGTACCCTCTCAATTTTTAACACATAGGTATATATACTCAATGCACGACATATGCTTTTATTTGCGTTAATCGTTAAGTATGTAATATTTACATAAATAAAGAAATATTACATACCTAACGATTAACACAAATAAAAGCATATGTCGTGCCTTGAGGGTACCTATGTGTAAAAAAATGAGAGGGTACCTGTGATATAAAAATTCAAATGAAGAGAGGTAGCCCGTGCCGCTGCAAAACTGAAAGTAGGGTGTTTTTATGAATTTTACAATTATTTTTGACAATGTACTGCCATTTGTCCGAAGATAATATGTAAATGAACATACTAAATATGTATGATGCATATATAATAAAGCCACAGGTTCATTTCAGCCCAAAAAATATGTCGAGGTGAGGGGCGAAGCAAGACATGTCGATTTTTTGTAGCTTATTGTGAATTTGTAGTACATGAAAAACGGGAACATGACAAATCAGCACATCGATAAAACATTCTAGTGTTCCGTGGTATACATCTTTTCTACGTGTCATACGTTCTTTCCTTATTATATTGAATTTTTACTGTATTGTTATCCATCGCTGGTTTGTTTTTAGCAGAGAGTGGCCTGTGCATGTGCAAAGAGGGTACCGTTTCAGCAGATTTCGCAAAGAGGGTACCGATATGGATATGCACCGTGAGACTGGAAAACATAAAGTTCCCAACTTCATCAGCAGATATATCAAATGTGAAGAGAGGATTTTACAAGGTGGCAGGTTTGCCTAATTGTGTTGGTGCTGTGGATGGGACTTTGATCCCAATCATAGCACCAGCAGGATTAGAGGAACCTGCCTTTGTTTGTAGAAAGGGATACCATGCCCTGAATGTCCAAGCTGTTGTCGACCATAACATGAGGTAACCAATTTGCAATAGATTTCTTTTTCTTCCGTATTTGCAATGAAAATTATTTAATTTATTTAAACATTTACAATTCTTTTGACTGAATGGTTATCAGAAAGAATAGGTATTAACATCTACTTTTTCAAATGCTGTAAACTGTCTTATACTTAAATTATTATTTTTGATTAGTAAAATATTCTCTTTATCTGCCTTTATTAGAATTATTCACTTCACTATCTTATGAACTTTTGTTTGTTTGTTTGATTTGGGTTTTACCTCACACCAACACTATATAGGTCATTTGGCGACGTTCCAGCTTTACTGGTGGAGGAAGAAGACCTCATGTGCCTCTCCGTGCATTTTTTTCAGGCACGAACGGGCACCTGAGTAGAACCACCGACGTTCCGTAAGCTAGCTGGATAGCTTCCTCACATGAAAGAATCCAAAGTCCCTGTTGGGATTCGAACCCACAGCGGTGAGGGGCAAGTGGACCGTAACCACTCGGCCACGGACGCCCCACTCTTATGAACTAAATTTTGGATAGAAGTAATGTAAAACAATTACATTTTGTATAGGTTCACCGATGTTGTTGCTCGCTGGCCTGGGTCCACACATGATGCCACTATTTTTCATAAGAACAAACTTATTTTTTGTAGAAACCTTTCAAGCACAATAGATAATACATGTGAGAATGTAAATTGGAATGGATACATATAATCAAGTTGGCATTGAATCAAGAGCCACTATCTAGCTTTGGCCATGCTCGGCTTTTTCTTACAATGAAAGTCAAACACATCAGTAGGAGAATATTGTAATATCTATTAGAGTACTCCTAGAAAACATAATATAACTGTATAAAGTAAATTTCAAATTTGAATAGTAAAGGTCATAGTTGAATGATAATTGTTCTTTTGTCCAAGAATCAATCAAATCATAGACAAAAACAAAGTTATGACAATGTGAGTGAATTTCAATTGTTTGACCTTGGAGGTAATAGTCATTTAAAGGTCAAAGTTATATCAGAAAAATTCAACATGTTTGTTCTGTGTTTGTTTGTTCAAGCATGATTCAAATCTGTAAACAAGAAACATGGCAATGCCATGAAACCAGGTTTTCAATTATCACCATCGTAGATAAATATGTTGTATTTGAAATACAAATACAATCAACAAACAATGTTACTATGTGCAATGTAAAGCATGAATAATGTAGGAGGAATTGCCACTGAAGAAGTGTTCACTATATATTCGGTATGAGGAAAAAAACAAAGGGCCATAATTAGGTAAAAAATTATCCAATCACAAAACCCCGACAATATGTGCCAGGGCGCTTGGTGACACAGCTTCTGTGAAAGTTTGAACAAAATCCGTTGAGAAATGTAGGACGAGTTCAGCACAGAAGAATTAATTCACTATATATTGATAAGTCTGTATAAGGAAAAAAAACTAAGGGCCATAATTAGGTCAAATATTATCCATTCACAAAACCCCGACAATATGCGCCAGGGCACTTGATAACAAAGCTTCTGTGAAAGTTTGGTCAAAATCCGTCGAAAAATGTAGGAGAAGTTCCGCACGATAGAAATTGTTCACTATATATTCTGTATAAGGAAAAAAAACAAAGGACCATAATTAGGTCAAATATTATCCAATCACGAAGCCCTGACATTATGCGCCAGGGCACATAATGACAAAAGTTCTGTGAAAGTCTGGTCAAAATCCGTGGAGAAATGTAGGAGGAGTTGCGCACAGAAGAAATTGTTCACTATTTATTCTATATAAGGAAAAAAACAAAGGGCCGTAATTAGGTCAAATATTATCCAATCGCAAAACCCCGACAATATGCGCCAGGGCACTTGATGACAAAGCTTCTGTGAAAGTTTGGTCAAAATCCGTTGAGAAATGTAGAAGGAGTTGCGCACAGAAGAAATTGTTTACGCCCGCCCGCCCATCCGCCCGCCCGCCGACATACCTCAATCTAATAACCAGTTTTTTCCTTCGGAAAACCTGGTTAAAAAATTACAAAGTATTGACAATTCCAGCGAACTCTAAAGATATTTTATATCAAATAAAGGTCAAGGTCATATATGAACTTGAAGGGCTTTTGTCACAAAAACATGTCTCCAAAAACTGTGTATGGTCCTGATCACTCTTTTGAATTTTGGCAGTTATACATGTGATAGATTTTTCTTTTTTTAACTCTTGGACCATTTTGTGCAGAGAAACAGAACATGGCTGCCATCGTTGGATACCCTCAATTGATAAACATGTCACATAACATGCAATCAATGATGAATGTTAATGGTTCGGCCGTGGGTATCCGACAATGAGAACATGCCAACAATGTGCACAACTAAGGATGGCACTGTACACCCCTGTTTAGTTTTTTTGAAATCTAACCAGCAGTTTAAACATTACTTTTTTTATATAAGTTAAAGATAGAAAACATTATCAATTTTAATCCTATACTTATTATAGGTATTTATTGGATTCATTATTCAAAATTAAATGAAAGAGCATGGAACAAAATATTTTCAAGATCTAGTAAAATCTAAATGTTTTTAAAATCTAGTAGAATCAAAACTTTACAATAAATATATCAATAAATATACTATAAAGTACATTATAACAATACATGTATTTTGGATAATACAATCTCAGCTGAAAGACTTTAAATGGGTGTGGTATTATAAATGTTTGTAAATATTGTAAGTTATCTAATCAATAAGTCTATTCTTAATAAAAGAAACTTGCACCTTGAAATTTTCTGTACAAACTAAAACTGCCATTGTCATGTTGTGAATACCCACGCATACCACTTTGTCAGAATCAACAGTAGTAATTTAGAGCTTAAGGACAACCTCCCAGCCAAATGTGAGGGAAGTAGGCCAGTGCATTGCAAAGTTATGTATTCTACATGTTTTAATGGCAAAGTGACCTTTATCTTTGACCTACTGACCTCAAAACTAAAACTGCCACTGCATGACTTCAATAACACCCCCACCCATTTCATGCAGCCTTGCCTGGAGGTGTTTTATCATGAATATATGAGACCATTTGAGCAGACAAGCTTATTGTAATAAAAGCCCCTGTGACCTTGACCTTTGCCCCAGTAACCTCAAAATCAATAGGGGTATTCTACTAATCTTGACTAACCTCCATGCCAAATATGAAGACTATGGGTTTAAGGATTCTTAGGGAATTGAGCGGACAAGCTTTAATTGGCCAAGGCCCCTGTGACCATGACCTTAGACCTGAAAATAAATAGGGGTCATCTACTTATCATGACTGACCTCCATGCCAAATATGAAGACTGTGGGTCGAAGGATTCTTAAGTTATTGGGCAGAAAAGCTTTCTTCAGTCAAGACCCCTGTGACCTTGACCTTTGACTTGGTGTTCTCAAAATTATTGGAGGTCATCTACTAATCATGACTTACCTCCATGCCAAATATGAAGACTGTGGGTCAAAGGAATCTTAATTTTATGGACGGACAAGAAAAAAGCGATGGATGCCCGACGGCTGGACAAGCTGATTCCAGTATAGCCCCCTTACAACTTTGTTGTGCGGGGGTATAACAGATTTCAAACATTGATAAGTTAGGTCATCTTCTTGGTGATGAACTGGCGCCTCTATATTCAAATGTGGTTCTGTTCATACATAAGTTATCTCATGTTCTTCATGATAAACTCTCACAGGTTTGAAGTTGATAGAGTTCTGTTCATATTTCAAAAATAGATAAGTGATCTTATTTTCCTGGTGAAAAACTGGTCGCTCATTCAATATCAATACATATTATGTCGCTCATTACTATATTCATGAGGCTTTCTACATCACACATTCCAACATTGCAAATGGCAAGCAGTCTCCTGGTATTCCAATTTCTTTAAGTTTTGAAAAACCCAAATGTGTCAATTTCTCTAGTGTTTCCGACATGAAGACACATCTACATGCATCTGTCCTTATCACTCCTGCTATTACTGTTCTATCATACAAACGCCACTGTTTCCTGAAATATTTGTTTAGAAAAAGTTAATAGCAAAATAAAAGTTCCATTATTGTTTTGTTTGTTTTTTTTCGGGGAGAGGGGGGGGGGGCAATTTAAAGCACAATTTCCAGCTTTACTGCTTGAGGAAGACCTTGGTGCACCTATGTGTATGATTTCAGGCACCTGGGTACCATCAAAGTTCCATAAATGAGCTTGATAGCTTTCTCACATGAAATGATCCGTAAACACTTGCATAGCACGAACCTACAGCAGTGAAAGGCTTAAAGGTTTAAAGTCAACCAATCGCCACAGACACCCCAAGTATTTTATCTATTTGCTAAGCAGCAATTTTTTCAAAATCATTTAAATTTATAAATGTGAGTGATTCTGATAAGCTATAGACAGCTAAGTGAAGATAAGATAATCATATATGTCAGATATGTTGGAGTGCTTATTGTGAGTATTCATTATTTTAAATTAATGTGAATTCTCCTGAGGTGAAAAGGAAAGGAAAGCTTAATTCCTAAATACATGTTACATGTCACAATTGTTCTTGTTATTAATTTTGTTCCTAATTTCTATTTTATAAGATGATATTTAAATTCACTGTATTCCTTTTTATAAATTTGGATTTTTGTGACAATAGTCTATCCAGTGACAGAAGCTCACTGACTTAAAATAGACTATCCTGTGTCAGCCTTTAAACAAGTCAAGAACAAAAAGCTATTAGAATATAATGATTAAGAAATATCATATACAACCACTTCTAAATCATCATGTACCGCTTCCACAAATGCCATGCTACTGAAAGAAACATTTTACCATTTATTCACTGCAAGGTTTGTCAGATTGACAGTCTCACATTTTATTTCATACTCATTGACCCTAAAGCATCCTAAAAATCGATATCGTGACGTTCACATTTACAAATCTGACATGTAGGCCGACCATCTGAAACAGAAAGTTGGAAAGATTAAATATAATTATTATTAGATATACATATAGTATCCCAATAATTATGTTAGTTGAAATCAATAGTCGAATCAATAATTTAAGCAGTGTAAGAAATTAGCAGTAGTCCGAGGGCCCGACTACTACATTTCTCCTCGGGCTACCAACTTTTCACAGTAACAGGCCTGACCAGGCTACTGTATTTTAAGAGGTAATATTAACAAATGAATTGTGCCAGAGAAATGTCTTTTGGGCTAGTGAATATTCCAATCTGGTAGTCCGACCAGGCTAGTCGATTCAAATCCTAATTTCTTACACTGTTTAAGAAACAATTTGTTCAAAATTGTCCAAGAACAAAGATTTTTATAGTATACTATAGTAGTTATAGTGTATATACAGTATGTACTAAATCATAAATGTCTTTTCAATCTACTATACTGTCCTTAAATTTTAAGAAAACAACTATCTTTAAAATCTATTGTCTCAGAAGTTGCAAAAACCAAGTAAATGAAATTGTTCTGTATTTGTATTATTCTACACGACTTCTGATCACAAAAGCTTGAACGACATTAATAAGTGAATCAGGTCCTATCCTGAAAGATTGTTGCGTACAAGTTTGAAGACAATCCATTCAAAAATAACAAAGTCATAGCCACTAATAGCAAAAATCAGGAAAATTTAAATATTTTACCTTGAATGTTTATATGGAGGTCAAGTTTAGTCTGGTCTATTTGAAGGGTTGTTGTGGCCAAGTATGAAGACAATACACCAAGATCTGAAAAGTTATGAAAAAGGTTAAAGTTTGTTGACAGCAACGGGAAAGCTGTCATGACTGTAACAATATATTATGACCCTAAATGCAAACTGAAAGTTCTAGCCTATAAACACTGTTGAGGATAGCCGTTCAGCATTTCTTCAATAATAAATAAATGCAATGATAAAATAGGTAACTTGCAAGTCTTCTAACATTTTTACAAAGAATGAACTTTTCCTAATAATTCTACGATGACGTTCAACCTTTTATATTATAACAAGATATCGGAAAGATATATCAGAAATGAATTGGACCGTGGACTTTAATGTCAATCATAGAGCTCTTATGCAAAATGTAATGGTAAGCAAACATTCAGCATGAAATTTTCAAGTAGCCAAAAGTGAAATAAAATTATTAAAAATACTCTTTCATAATTCAACTACTGTTGGAAATTGACCCACATGTTTGATTACAAATGTATCTATATAATAATGTCCATAGAAATAATAAATTAATTTTCAGTCTCTTTCTCTATGCGCTTTCACACAGATTGTTCCATGATTTTCAGAAGGAAAAAAAATCTTTTGATCATCAAACACTACAAATTACTATACCAACTGTAAATTGCAGTCTATGCGAAAGGCTGTCGGTCCTCGGACTTCGCCAACTAAAAATCAGTAGGGTCGAGATAAATTTCTATACAGTCAGTTGTCATGTCCGAATAAAATTTCAGCCAGTTTGAAACAATTTTTGGCCTTCTGAAATATGCAAAGCTTCCAAGATCGGTCTATCTTTTTAATTTTTGCTTGTATTCACAGACCAAGATAACCAAAATCACCGCAGGATACGACCAGTTTTTGCTAAGTAATGTAAGCCACCATCTTGTCTCGGATATTTTCTTTTCCAAAACATATTTTATCTCCAATCTTCAAAATTAAACCTTTGAAAGATGTACATGTATTGTTTTCTTGTGAATTATGCTAATGTGTTATCTTATAGTTGAGTCTGATAATTCATATATGCTAAATATTTTTCTTTATAATTATGACAATATCCCTCCCCCATACCTACAAAAAAAATCTGTCAGAGTCCGGACGGGGGGAAAATCATCAGTCTAAGGATCCCAGTCCTTGCGGGTGGAATTTTTTTTTACTTTCACATTGACTGAAATTGTATATGATATTCAATAAAATCTTCTTTTAGAAAAACAAGTTTGCATATTATTGTTTTAGGCAACTCATTTTTAAAATGCTGTACAGCTAGTCTCAACAGTGAGTATATGCTAGTCGTATTTTGACTCGCATACAGCTAATATTGGTTCATACTGCTAGCCACTGCCTATTCCTCTAGTCTACCAATTCATATACTTCCATGAATACTATTAGTATAATAATCATATAGATGTTAAACAATAAAAGTAATGATGACTTAATATGATGTATATAAAATTCCGCTGCTAAAGACAAGACTTTAGTTGTTTTTATTGAATGTTTATATCAACAAAGGTAATGAGGTAAGTTTATCAAGTTTCCCCGGCAACAGAGTTGTGTGAAAAAAATGTCAATTTGATGAGCCCTTGAAGCAACCATGCACAACATGTGTATTAATAAATCCTTGCAATTATCAAGAAAATAGAACAAATATTTTATCAAGCACGTAAGCAATAAAGACGCAATTTGACTGGTTTACAGAGAAAAATAGTTGAAAGTATCTTGACAGGTATTAATTGGAAATAGATACACAGTTCAACTGTTAAATGGAAGCGGTCAATCAGCTGTTTCGAAAATGAAAGTACACACCAAAAACACTTCAAATTCACATTTTTTGCGTAATTAATTTACAGAGTGCGTAAATGAACAAATTGTTAACCTTGTACGTTTTTAGTTGATTTTAAAGCGTAAAATATGCCGATATTCACATTATCTGGAATCTGTTATATTTAATAATATAATCAGTAATCTTATTATTATCGAACTGTGGTTTTGAATTTTAATACAACTACTTTTTTCATATATAAATGTCTATAAATTTACAAATAAAAAATCTACAAAATTATTGACTGACCATAAATATCATGAAATCCTACATCTGATGAAGGCAAAACTGTGAAAATCAGATCTACATGTATGAAATAAGTATATCTTATTTTAAGACATATTGAATTACGGACAGGGCGGACTGTGACTCAAGATTAGGCGGACCGTGATTTAAAAAGTATTTATATGTGGACTAATGTAATAGATTTTAAAGTATTAAATTATTGATGTCCCAAAATATGGTCCGCCTAGTCTCAAGTCACAGTCCGCCCTGGGACGGTCCACCCTGTCTCACGGTCTGCCCTGTCATGCAGGGGTCATATTGTATTAAACAATTATAATTATTACTAGTCCTTTAAATTTTGGGACCTCTCATAGGATAGTATTTTATTCATTACAGGGCTGGGGCAGTACCTCCAGTCGCTTGCAAAAATCATGATCACAAAATTGAAAACTATCATTTTTCACCAATTATTACATTTTACCTGTATATCATGACAAGTTTTGGGCTTATTTTGTTAAGCTTAGTTAGCTAATACAGTAAATTGAGTAATAGACTGATAGAGATGTGTTCAAAAAGTAGTCAAAAATGTAATAATAATTTAAGAAAATATCTTTCCATGTTTCTGAATAAGTCCAGATATTAATTATGTGGTTTCAACAATAAAAAGTGATAAAAAAAACAATATGTTAATAAATTAAAAAGTGGACCGAGTTGAAAAAAGGCCGAGCTGACTCTGGGCCGAGTACGACTCTGCACTAAAATTTGCAGTCTATCAAGCGAAATATATCAATAGTTTTACCAGATTGTGAAGAAAACTTAATTATACATACGGAATAGATTGCAACCAAAATATCAACGTAATAGATGGGACTTCCTAATTGATAGCAAATCTTCTCAACCTTTTCTCGGAATAACTGACCAAGATGGTCGGGAAAATGACGTCAGAGGGAAAATAGTTCGTATTCATACGCATACAATTTTTTACTCTGTCATTCACACTTTTTAACCATTTTAAGCTTGAAAGTAATCTAATTTGAAAATCGTATTCCATCTTCCTAAATTATTGTGTTCTATGATAGTTAGTTAATTTATGACTTGATAAAATTGGCACCAAATTTATGCAAGTACTTTGGCTCTCATGCATCGGGAACCAGAAGGTAGGACAAATAAACTGGTTCTCATTAAATTTTTATCGACTGCTAGCGTAGTAATATTCAAATCGCGTAAAGCAATGGTATTTGTAATTTTGTGATAAAAGGATTTAAAATTAAGTAATAAAATGACCAGTCAATTTTAAATTAGATAAGGTATTATGATGATCTGAATATTATGGCAAAATATTGGAACTATTTTTGCTCAGCGCAGCTAGATAGCCTAAATGCGTTCAAAAGGTAGTAAGCTGAATTTATCGTAATTACATTGGGGGCTTGCGCCTCCAATAAAATGGTGGTTTCCTAACTTGACCCACGTGGGTCAGGTTCGAGCGTTACGATTTTACAATAGTTGTCACAGTGGACTCTGGGAACGTTAAATAACATGTCAAATGAATGACTAAGATCTGTTTTAATCATACAATATCCACAATATATGTTATTGTAACTTTCAGGGTTTGTTCAAGTCACATGACTTATTTTAAAACTGTTGGCGTCTAAATTTCGTTCAAATTATATAGATATATTAACGCTACAAACTCAATATACATATATATATAGAATTTATACAGAAATTCATGCTTGGACTTTAAAAATGTCATTTTAGCGTGATTTGAGTACACAAGATCATTTTAATATTTGTGTCATTAATCTGCCTTAATAAGGAGAAGAAATATCTAGGAGTTTAAATGTTATAGTTTTATTATGATAAAATAAAATATTTTCAATTCAACACCCAATCTTTCATATTTCCTATGACATTACCCATATTACTGTTTTCATTTGTGTCATTAAGGTAAGTTATTTTGTTTGAATATATGATCGAATTGTCATTCACTTGTTTTGTTTAGTTTGTAAATTTGGAAGAGAAAGTTAAGTCAGTTGCACTGTCAATCATAATATCTATATACGTTACAAAATGTTAGATAAGAAAGGTAAGGTTCGTTAGTTAATAGGGTTTGTTTTTTGAACCGTAGCTATAACAAATCTAGAAGTTACAATTGTAACAATCATTATAACAATTGTAACATTTAGCACTAATAATGTTTTACTTTCCTTTAAAATCCTTCTTAAATTGCATACTGCGGATTCGGCGTTACTTTTACGTTAATTGCACATTCCCGCGTTACTGGATATACACGGTGGATTAACAATACATTATTTTATTGTAACGTAAGAATAGATAATATATCTTTCTATTCTAACAGAGTTATAAAAATGATAATAAATAAAAGCATGTTGAACATTATTCAGCATAGAAGTATTTTTTATCTTATGTCATTTGGATTATATGACGTCATATCTGACTTTATATTATGTGTCATCCTTCCTTTTTCATGCCATGCATAATTATTTTATGTCTAATGCACTTACCTGCCTTATCTATTTATAGCGGAATACTGTGAGGCTTGTTTGAATTTTATGTATTTACTGAATCTTGAGTATTAAAACAGCTGTCAAAGCCATATCAATCATAGTGTTAGTCATATATTATGAAAAATGGTACAGTATAATTTTTCTTTTATGTATAAAACATCTCTTGGTAAGCAAAAATAAACGTGTTTATTTTCAGAAAAGTTTGATTTATCTTAAATGTGTTTATTGAAGTTGTTATTAGATCTATGTATAAAAATCAGTGTGATAATGACACTGAAACGAATGTATCGTATACTAGATCTACTTGCTGGTAATTAATAGTAAAAACCAGTGTAATAATAACGTTGAAACAAATGTATCGAATACTAGATCTACTTGCTGGTAATTAATAGCGTTATCATTACTTCCGCCCTATACTTTTTACATATTGATATTTATATTAGAAAATAAAATAAAAAATGCAATATAACTTAAGAAAAAAGGTAGGAGTGCCCGGGGCACCTATAGGAATAGTCCTAAGTTTAGTCTTAAAATATCACAGTTTTGCACGAACGACTAAAATCGGTCCTAAGATTCTTAATGAAGCGCACCCCTGGTCCATGCACGTGACACGTTTTCTCATAATGGTGAACATTTCTAAGAAGTGTCATTAGAATCCCACAATACGTGGAGGAGATATGCTCTGGATAAAATTTCAATACTTTTATCATATTAAGTGACCTTGCAGATATTAATCTAAATTACATGTTTCACACCAGTAGGTATGATAATGGTCATTTGTTTCAATCCCTCAATAAATGATCACTAAATGGTCCGAATGCATATTGTCATATTTTTTTTAACTTTGATCCCTATGTCTGACATTGACCTTGACCGCATGGACATTAATTTTGCTCGGGACAATCAGTTCAAAATGGTGAACATTTGTGCCAAGAATATTGAAATCCGACTATGAATGGAGAAGTTTTGCTCCGGACAAGTGTTTTTAATGACCTCTAAGTGTGATATTGACCTTTGACCGAGAGACCTGGTTTATGTGCGCGACAAAGCTTCTCATAGTGGTGAACATTTGTATGAACTTTCATAAACATTCTTTGATGTGTGTAGGAGATATGCTTCGGGCAAAATATTAGACACCGCCCGTCAGACCGCCCGCCCCCAAGGGGGACCTAAAGTACGACCCGTTTTCAAAGGGCGTATAACCGCACTACTTAATATATAAAGGTAAATTGTCATATACATGTTTTGTCTTTTAAGACTGATTGAATTATGCTCACATCAGTGCTAGTGGTGTCAGGGATGTTGCTTTTCAACATGAGAAATTTAATGAAATCAAAAAATTCTTACTATATATATCTAATTTGAATTAAACAATATACAAAGCTATATTCCCTATTACGGGTCAGGTAAAGATGGTCCTTTCTTAAGAACCCGCCAGTCTTTTGGATGACATTTTTGTTCATATTGTGTCCCTCCCCTACATTGTGTAGAGTTTAACAAGGAACATATTTACTTTATGTTAAGTCAAAACACGTTTATTTTATACTTGAAAAATGACTGTGCAGAAATTATAAATATCCGGTATTGAGCATAGTTTATCATTTGCTTATAACCGATGTAGGTTCGAGCGGCATAGGCAAAACCAAGTACGTGTAGGAGAACTATTAAAAAACTTATGGAACGTTGGTGGCTCTACTCGGATGCCCGTTTGTGCCTTAAATAGCGTACTGTGGTTTTCTTCAACCCTGCAGAATTACTTAGACATCGCCATATGACTTATACTATTGTAATGCGACAATTACTTTAACAAAAAGAAATAAAGAAAGAAAAAAAGAATGAAAGAAAGAAAGAAAGAAAGAAAATTTATCTGTCATATGTAAATCTGCCAGTAGATGATATTTGACCTTGTATCACAGATTGTGTACTTTTCTGTTGAAAATGTGACAAAGTTGATAGTATACGTACATACATGCATAGTGCATTAAGTGGAGTATAGGTTTATAGTTACCCACACTTCAGAGAATGCCCATTGATTGGCTAATTTTTGTTTGGGGTTTACTTATTGTGACAACAAAGAAAGGGATAGCAGTAATATATAATATTACTCCTCTCCCCCACCCTAAAAAAATAAAAAAAAA